GGGCTTATCTGGGTCCCGCTACAACCAAGACGATTTGATCCGTGCGATTATGATCAAGATATTTCGACGGTCCACAACCTTCACATTCCTTGAGCGTTCATCAAGTTCACGCACACTCGCAAGCGAGTCGCTGTGACCGCACGTTCTTCTACCCTTTCATTTCCCATTTTGTACATAATATAATGGAAAAATGGTGAGTTTATCCCAGACAACATTAAACTCACCATTATTTCATGATTATTTAGATCAAATGGCTGAAACTCAATTAATCATTAGAAGAATTATATCATGGAGCTTAATTTTTTAATTTAAATTATATTAGATTGTAAAATTAAATTTATTGGATAAGAGAATCTAGCTTTGTATTTAAGAAACTCATTTTTTCTTCAATGATTTATATTATTACTTTAATGTAGTTAAAATTGCATAATACATTGGTATTATATTAGATATCACAAAAAAATATTTATTATATATATATATTTTTTGGTATAAAATATGTTTAATTTTACAAGAGTAGTTAGCTGTTTATCATTGCAAAAATAACTATATATTGACCTTGAGTCTAATTAATTAAAGTTTTACATTTATTAAATATTCTAAGCTCTTGTTGAAAAAACAGTATATATTCTTCTTAACCTATGTATTCATACTTGTATATATGTATCTATTTCATGGACCCGGAATTTTGTTAAATGAAAGGTTATCAACAATCCGAGGGAGGTCTTTCCTCAATAAATTCTTGGTTTAGGTAAAGGGAGAAGGAAGAATGGGAATGTGCAACAAAACTTAAAGGGTATCCTGCGGTTAGAGAGCTATTTGATAATAAAATTGCTTGATTTTGAAGCTAATTGAGAGGGTGTTGTAGGTGGGTTTGAGGGAGGATTTTTCTTTTGCAGTTTACAAGTCATGAAGTGAGATTAAAGATTCACAACCATTTTGAACAGAGAAAGACAGAGATAGCCATCATGGTTTGCTTCCTCATCACAACTATAACTACCTTCTTTTTTCCTGCCCCAATCGTTCTACTATTAAATGTTTGGTGAATAACACCATGATATCGATCTCTCAACTCAAAACTCTTCCAATGGGGAAATCCCTTTGGAGCCAATGTCATATTTGTTAACGTTATTTGTACACTTACTCCTCAACATAACCATGTAAACATTTCTTAAGTTTCCATATCGTTTTCATTTCTGTTTAGCCATGATTTCCATATCTAGTTCTTCAGACGTAGCTGTCGCTGGAGGTTTATCAAGCAAAGAACATAATTGTCATGCAAAATGACACGATAGCAACATATACACCAGAAAGTATCATCTCCATGAAGAGTAGAGTTTTTGCCACCAACTTTCTTTATCTGGAGATGATATATATGTACTGAGCATCTTTAATACTGACAAAAGAAATTGATCATCAAAAAAGAAATGGCAGAAGATATCTAGAAATGTTATAATCTGCTTTATAAAGTGTGTAGATAACTTCCATCAAGAGAGGAAAAGTGCATAGATAGCTCTCATTAATGCCAAGCTCTGAATTTTATTGTCTTTTCTTAGAAACAGAGAGAACATATTCTTGAGGGAAAAAGGGAATTTATGAAACAGAAATATAAACATGACGGTAACTGGGTTCCGATTGAATTTGGGAGAGGTAATACTTACAAAAAAGATAAAAAGGGGGAAAAAAAAAATCAATAGCTTCATGCTACATTGGCAGTATCAGAATCATACCCTTCTGTTTTAGCACATCCACCTTTTATCCTCTTCCTAGCATCAGCTTTAGCTTTCTGAGATGCATAACGAATTTTTCTCTCATGCCTGAAATGCAAAAAGATCATAAGCTTCAAAAAGAAAACAAAAAGATAAATTTAGGAAATTTTCATTTTGTTTACCTGACTAGAAATTTGGGATGAGTTACTGTATTCAGAAGTAGGAAGTTGGATATCATTATAGTATATAGAGAATGTATGTCCGTCATTTCACTCCAAAACTTTGGCTTGAAAATTAGTCTATACAGATAATGAACCAGTGTTGTCAAGAGGCTGTCATCTATGTATTGGAGTGTCGGTTTTAAGTACTCAGAAATGCTCAAGCTGTAGGAAAATGGCCAAGGCTAAAGAAGAATATATACTTTATGTTCCTTCTGGTTGTATTGGTTTTGTATAGGTTTATAAGACACCAGCTAAATTAAGCTTGCATGACCCATTCAAGTCTACCAGATGTAACTTAAAGCAAACTGTTGTAGAAAACCATCTAGAAGAAAAAACATGATACTTACAATCGAGCCTTCTTCTTCTCTTTGTACCTCATCATTGCATTTTCTCTAGCTTCAGTATGCACACCGTCTAAGTCATGAGCATTGCAAGAGGCATCCCCTCCTGTGATAGGTGAAAGTTCACTGTCAAGGCAATCTGTAGCACTGCTTCCATTGCTAAACCTTGAAAGGGGGAAAGACAGGGTTGAATAAGATGGTTGAATTGGGTGGGAACAATCAAATTTTTGCTGGTAATTGTAGACTTGGATGGAAGGCTTCCCGTCTCTTTGCATTTGAGCAGACTGTGCACCATAAATGGAAGCTGCAGAAGCATCCTGTCATGAGAAAAACCAGAAAAATGAAAAATGAAAACCTGAAGGCACTCAACTATTCTATCATGGTTTCATCTTTGCCCTTATCCAGAGTTACGTCTGCAACCATTTGGGAGGACTGAAACATAAGATTTAAGTAGTTTGTGATATTATGAAGATATAGGAAGCTCTTGAAGTTTGAGAATTTTTCAATCTTTTTTTTTTTTTTTTATATGTTTTTTTAATCTTACTCATAAGCAAATCTTTTAAATAATTTTTCTTCAAGTTACGTTTAAATACCAATGCCGTAGGTCTGATATCAGACTTTCCATTTTCAATTCAGGAATCAGGGATGTTGATGGAAGATATATATATATATATATATATATATATATAACATAAACTAGTAAACTAACCACATGAATTTTTTCTCTAAAATGCAGAAAACAGAAAAGTTACCATGATACTAACCTTCATTGATCTTGCATTACCATGATCTGATTTACAAAGGGACACATCCTTCTTGATTGACAAGTATGAAACATCTTTATCATCTAGCAGCACTCGGATTGGATCTTGCTCACCTCCAAATAGCTCCTCAAAGTTGCGGAATGTTAAATCAACATCAGGTATATTAAAATCATCAGGGCAACTGTTGTCTTCACAAACCCCCAGGTCTTGCATGGTTTGAGACCAGAACTGCAAAGGTTAATTGACAAATACTAAAGAGTTTAAGGATCTAGATTTGGATGCTCAAAAGATCATATTTGGAGCAACACATAGAGGCTGCATATCTAAAAGAAGGTATGGTCATGACTAACTTTACAGTTATTTGGAAGAATATAGCCATAAAGATATCCATTTATGAAAAAGTTTGCCAAAGCAGGAGCAATGTGGTAATTGTCATTAAACCCAGGAAATGGTCAGGATTGGAAAAAAAGCATTAACCTATAACTGTAGGTAATATTGAATCAAACCCAATGTCCTTCTAGAATGGTTTCCTCAAAAGGATATAAGGTAGTTTCTAATACCTTTATCAGGAACTTTGCCCTCTATTTCCACCCTTAAAATGCTGTCAATCTTCTAAAACTTACTCACTGAGGTTTGTAAAACCTGGTATGCTTGTACGTCAATAAAAACCTTATTAAACAAAACCTGCATCTGGATGAATGGAAAATGATGCAACCGAATTGACCAAATTTTATTAAATTTCCCCAAGTGAAAGCATGCTCTGACATGTGAACTCGGGAAATTAAAAAGGTGAAATAAAATTTACATAAAAAGATGAGTTATAATAAAACAATAATTTATAACAGAACACTGATAATCACCAAGCCTAACACTCATCTTATCCACCATGCATTTTCTGAAAGTAAAGAAAATTTCTTTCTGTTCCCATGGTTTTCCCAAATGAATTACAAATCTGGACGGCTAGCAAGTGATCTATCATACCAATTAGATTACTTGTGATTAGTATATCAAACCTGATTGCTTTGAATTGGACTTTTGCATTGCCAAAAAGATTCTCCTTGCGAAGGCATCCCCACAGTTGAAGACGAAGACAGATGCTCCAGATGGTTAAAGCCCAAAGGAAAAGAATCCACTTCAAGCTCCTGAAGTTGATTGCCTCTTTGGTGGAGATCAGTGCCAATATCATGGAAATTTTGTGAATCCTGACCTACATTTCCATCAAAATTCTTTAAAGAGTTATGCATTGAAGTACATTTGTTGCTTTGTTTCTGTTCAAGTATCAAAGGTCGACAACTATTTCCCTCATTGAGTTGTAGCCTTTTCAGATCAAGAATCTGTTGGAAAATAAAGGCCTGCAGGATTAAGCACACATGAAGATGAGCATAAAAATAAAATGAGCTTTTGTATTCCTAAAGAAAAGAATACTACAAGTTAATCTGTAAAATTTTATTGCCCTAGAATAGCTGGAGGAGGCTGAAATTACAGCAGAAGAGAATCTTCACTTCAAAATCAAAATTGAAAGGAAATCCAACTTTTAACTAACCTAAACTATCTGAATGCTTAAATCATCTAAGAATGATCAAGAGTAGCAGTGCTAATTGTGGTTTACATTAAGGATAAAAATCCTACAAAACTCAAATTAAATAAGAAAAACGCTTAACAATAACAGATTAAAGGATCTCCCAAAGGATGACAAATGAAAAGAAAAATGATTGGGAAAACATATCTGAAAGGGAAATTTATAACATGACCTAGTCACTTATATGTCCAGCATATGATGCATCAATTATAAAGCAGGTATTGCTAAAGGGTAGTGGGACTTCATAACCTTCCATTCTCATGGTTTCAGAAGTCATTATATTGTACATATCCACTTGTTTATGCCAAATCATCATTGAAACTTACAATCCTACGTGGCATCACAAGTATATCATCTCTGTCTTATGAGCTACCTATTTTAGCTGCATGTATCAGTCTCATATTATCACATTGAACAACAAAGTGCTGAACTTCATAAAATTTTCTTGTAGGCAGGAGGATATTTAGAAACAACCTAAGTTAACAACTAACATAGAAAAGAAAAAGAAGATATAAATTACAAAGATAAACTTCAGCACAATCAAATTCTGAATACCTTTGGTTTCTGACTGCTTGGTACATCATATCCTGCCATAGAGATTGAAGTCACATTTGATTTACTTGAAGAGCTTTTAATTTGAAAAGAAGATTGTGCTAGATTATTAAATCTGACCACATTAGGATTCACAGAACCTGATAAAGAATGATCTTGAATAGCACTGTTATCCTGCTCACCCAATTCAAACCCCCACAATGCTGCAAAATCTTTAGCAGGAGGGCATCCCAAATAACTACTTACTCCACGCCTCTGATGTTGGGAAGAGATATTGTGGAGGTTCAGGTCACAGTCACAACACATGAACATCTGATGATCTAAACACCTAACATAAGATGGGTGGCATCTGCATGAATCACACAGGAGGGTTCGGAGATGCTGATTTGAAAGTGCATTGGCTGAATGGACCTTTGCATCACAGGAAAGACACAGATGTGCTGCATCAGCCTTACAATAAACAACTGGTCTGGAAGTTGTGCAAACCTCACAGATTTTCTCCATTTAACTAGTTTCCAGTATTCATCAGACTCCAGAATTCCAAAACCTCTTCTCTTAAAGTTTCACTTCAAACCTCAATTATCAAACTTCATTTATCAATCCACAAGCTTGATAATTTACATATGCTGTTATTCTGATGAAGCAATTCAGTGCTCCAGTTTCAAAGATCTGAACAACACATCGGGATAATCAGAAACACTTTTAAGATTATTCATAAACCAGAAACATGATCTAAGATTAAATAATCCTTAGCAACAGAATCTAGTAACTTCAACCAATAAAAAGAAGATTAATAAAAAAGATCAAAGCCGAACATCCCCGATTATTGTGCTTGGTAAATTTTCAAGAAAAGCACGACAACTGCAGAGCCTCTTTCAAGCCTCACAAGATCAAAAGTTACACAAATTGCTTTCCATTGACTTTTAAGAACCATTTACTTAAACTTAACACAAAAGTCAGCCGTTCTTTAATTAAATTAATCAAAGAAACATCACCTAGGATTCAGCAAGCCGTAATGGGAACACTATGATTGAAAATTTGAATTTAAAAATTAAGCCCAACCACAACATGACAAAAACAAACATCAGTTAACATGATAAATCAGTAAATCAGACCATATTCCTTTGTGCCCTTAAACTTCCTATAGTCAAACAATCTTGAACCTTTCTTTCTCATCAATTATTTTTTCTGAACAACTCTAACCCATTTAACACAATCGAACAACTAACGAGACCCAAGTGGTCCTTCCGAAAACATAATCCAATCTCAACATCAGAAATCACAAGAAGAAAAAAAACAAACTCAATCATGACTGGATATATCTCATCACCCCATCAATTCATCTGGAAAACACCCTCCAAGATTAAAAATATAGAGATCTAAAAAGTAGGATCAAGGTTGACGAATCGGCAGATGGGTTCATGCACTTACATAGAAACAGAACAAAAGAACAGGTTGCTTACCTTGTGTTTGTTTCCCGAGAAAGAAAAAAGTGCAAGGTCCAAGAACTTTTGAGACTGAGCTCCTCTTTCTCTTTTATCTTCACATTTCTGGGTCTCGCTCTATGTCTATCTGTCTTTACCTTTTTTGCGCTGACGTGTATCTATGAGCGTGAACTTTTTGCTGACGTGGATGGGGAACACGTGGTTTAGTGGGGACCGGCAAACGTTATCCATGTTCATGTGAAACAGAAGTTCACAGTGCGAAGCCAATTGGAAGACGCCACGTGTTTCTACAGTGGGTATGGTTGACGGCATGGAGTTACGAGACGTTAAAGTAGCACACGTTTCTTCCCCCTTTTAGAAAAAGAAAAAGAAAATTAAGAAAATTGTTGAGGGCATTTGATTCGTAGATAAAGGAACGAATAACTAAAAATATACAGATTTGGCAATTGTTTAGGAACTTCAGTAACGCACGTGTTGGAATTGGTTTTTGTGATTGTTTTTTTTTTTTTTAACATTTATAGGAATCACTAGATATTACTAAGATATTTACTAATACTAGCCAAATTTGAGTAATTTAATAACTAAACAAGTTAGATATATATATATATATATATGTATGTCAATGACTCAATTATATGATATCATAGATGATATAAAAAATAATAATTCTCATATTTTTTTAAATTTCTTCTGACCTGTTTTAAATCAATTTAAAATTGAAAATTTTAATTTTAAATCTTAAAATTTTAATTAGTTGAGTTCCATCAAGGCTGCAAAGAATTCAACATAATTACAGACGTATGCATGTGTAACCAACGCCAGCACATGATACACGTTGTTAAAAAAAGTCCCATCGTTTACTTAAAGTCCCACGTTTGTTTAGCAGAGGAAGGAAATGTCGGTTGGATTTTTCATTCTAAATGCTTGCCGTAATAGAATTCATTTCATCCGTTTTGGATGGCGAGCAAGAAGAGATGAATTCCCAGTAGTTCTCAAATCTGATTCAGAATCTCAGATATCAATTTTGTTTACAACTCTTAATTTCACATAATTTGTCTCCTAGATTTTTGTATAAGGTGCAATAAGGTCATCCTATAACCAAAAGTCATCTGAAACCACGTCATTACACATGTACAAAACAACAAAGATTATTGGTCACCAAACCCATGGATCTGGATCATAACAGACTAAAGACTATACGGCCCCAAAAAAAATTTCTAACGACTAAAATATATATTAAAAGATAAAAAAATACCACCATCAAGAGTTGAATTGGATTAATATCAATTAATTTAAATTTTTTGATTTTGAATCATGATTAGAAATTTAAATTTCTATGATACAAAATAATTAATTTTTTGAAAAAAAAAAAAAAAAAAAAAAAAAGAAGATGAAAAGTACAGACAATTCAATTAACCTTGCCGACAACTTAAAATTAGAGTGTATGAAAGAAAAACTAAAGGACAGAAACAAGCCATCAAGAATAGTGAGATAAATTACAACATGGCTATCATTGTCCAACATTACACATGGTGCACATTATCTTGCAACCAATGGTCTACCAATCTGAACAAAACCTACAATTACAACGTAGGTTAATTCATTTGGTTGCATTGATGCAAAGGCCTCCTACAATCATGATAGTTTAGTTATATCACTTGCACTTGCAGGGAGGAGAGTAGGAAACATACAACATGACCAACCGTAATATTACACAGCCAAAGTCCATATCTACCAAAAATAGTGATTATAGTCTATTGCAAAACAAGTTTGTTAAAGCACAGTTACAGTTAAGGACGTTAGGATCATTCTCTTAGTTCATATATAAGACAATAAGGCTCTAGAGAGGCTTCCAAAAAACTTGCTAATTCCTAAATTTTTTGCATGGGACTGTACAAGTGGAAGACGAGCTTTAAAGTTTAAAGCAAACACAAAATGATACCAGCTAAAGGAGACTGACAAGAATTGCGCTATGAAGCAAAATAGTGTCCCAAAATTGCTGAGTGCATCCAAAATAGTTTATGCACTGTAACTGAGGCCAGATGCTGTAGCAAAACAGAACCAGTAGAAAATTATAAACCACAAAAAAAACCACAAAAAAGCTCCAGAAAGTAACATAAAAAAATGTTGTTAAGAGTGTGGAAATCATACTGAAACAGAAATGACAAGATGCTGTAAAAAAATAACTAAAAAAGTTAGTTCTCTGTACACTGTCACATGCTCCTGAGTTGTCATACAAAACAAAAGGCAAAGATTTTTCAAAACAAACTACAATTCAGATGCAATATCTGGAGTATATGAACACACAATAACGACATGCAATAAACAATGTGCACTATGATTTTTATTGCAGAGTTCCTTTGGGTGTCTCAACTACGGGCAGGTTCAGTTTCTGTATCCAACCATCAGCTACATAAATATTTAACAAGTCCAAGCTAACAAAATACTTCTCATGGAAACCGGTTAAGCTCCACATAGTTACATTTACATGAGTCGTAAGACTGCTTCTGTGGCTATTGTAAGACAATTAAGAAATCTTTAAATTTCTTTCACCCTTAGCTTACCTACAGAATATTAAGGTAAAACTAAATACACCAAATCCAAAATTTCAAATATACACTAATTTGTCAAAATAAAGTTAGAACCAAAAATATGCAGATCAAAATGCATGGGAAACCTATAAGCCAAAATGTGATATTTTTACCTTGGTCAGATTTTCTTCAAGTGCACCTCAATAATGTCATTATCCTCCATTCCTAGATCATTAGGGGTTGCAGCAGGACCAATTTTATCACCATCAAAGCTAAATACTAAGCTTTGCACATCAAGCTTAACTTTATCAGCATACATCTTGAAGAGTCTCTCAAATTTGTCATCCTATTAAAATCCAAGAATTCTTAGTTTATAGAGTTTAAATAAAACAATATTAAACAGAACATATTGCTATTAAATTCCACAAGAAAACCATTCAACATCCATAAAAAAGAATAATTAGACACAAACTCAGAAAACTCAGAAATTCAGAAAAAAAAAAAAAAAGAGTCTCCTAAAGTATGGTTGTGAATTGGAAAAGTAAGGAGAAGTAATCCATATTTTTCTTGATCTTATGCACAAAGCAGGTACAATTTTCCAACAGATCCCATCAAGATTCAAGCATGACATGAGAAATGCAAACTACTAAATTTGTGGCAAAGAATAAACTCTCATTCTATTACTCCAACCAGTGAACCAACACTGCAGGGAAAATGCCATCAAATTGAAAATAATACAGGAAACATACCACGTATATGCGGAATTGCTTGATTCCATCCTTGTCCTGTATGGAAATAACTATTTTAGCCCTTTCACAGTGAGGGTTGCTTAGTTGCTCAGTTTCAGCCTCTGGACGCTTCTCTACTTCTTGAAACAAATCTTTTGCTGATTGTGCAAATGAAACCAGTGAAACCAGCTCTTCTTTCTTTCTCCTGGATGATTTGACTGGCATTAATAGAGAGAAGGGAATAGAGATGCTATAGAAAAATTAACTGAAACACAAGAAGTGGAAAGAAAAACGGAATTTGTTGAATTTCATAATAATATATTAAGCTAGTAAACAGCCAAGTAGCCAACTGCATTCATACATGATAACTCCACCCCCTCCTTTTGTGTTCTACTTAATTATATGGTTAAACGAGAATGTCTAGCTATTATGATTAACAGCCAATTTTAGCAGTTGTCAATTTATCAGGCATAATACAACAGTGGATGAATCACAGTTGCTAGGAGTATCACATAGTCAGCCAATTCAAACACAAAGTGCTAATACAGGGTTAAGCAATTTTTGTTGTTAGATACGGATGAAGGGATTATCTACCAAACCTGTTCGCAACAAAAGGAAATTTGGTTTCCCAAAAAACATAAATCTAAAAAGATGATTATAACAAGAATCATGTCACAACTTATTATTGTAGACAAGGTGGCATCCAGTCTAATTATTAGAATCCAATCTCATGCTAAAAATGAAAGAACTAGAAAACACCCTGTCCTGACTGCTGAACCTTCTAGAAACATAAAATCGGTAAGGTAGCTACAAATCCATGGTCTCTAGGGTGTGTACCTCAACTCCTTAATGGTTGAATCCTCACCGTGCTTATTCTGAACACCAGCTGAAACCTTCGGAGGAGGAGGAGGAGGGGGAGGTAACCAGTCCTCTTCATGATCCACCACTTTTATTACCTCTACCTCCTCATCTACCTTTTTGACCTGATTCAAAACAAATTTCAGAGAAAGCATAAAAACAAGGCTCAATTATATGGCTATCAAGCAAACGGGAAGCAAAGAACTTACAGCGGCATCAGGAACCTTCTTTCGTTTCGGTGACGGATCTGGTGAAGTATCTGAATCGTCATCTGTACGGAATTAAGTTTGAGATATTAACACTGACTTTCTCGTGAACCAAACAGTGCATAAAAACATAGAATCGGAGTTTTTACCGTCGATAGAGACGAAATCGCGAGGCTGAACACGGCGGTAATCGAACAAGGGTTCGAGATCGTCGGTGGCAGAATCTGCCTGCAAAACAAATCGACGAGTTCAGGGAGAGAACGAGGAATTGAATTCGTAACCTGGTGATGATACTAGTAATCTAGAAGGAACTTCACCATAATTGATTCTGAAATTTGAATTGATTGGCCCCGGCGTTTCATGTCTCTCCTTTCTTTCTTGTCCCGCCCAAAACCGCAAGCCAAAACTGGAAACGAATGCGTGGTGACTGCGGGCGCAGGCTGGGAGATTGTGTGTGCGTCTGTGTTTTTTTTTTTTTTTTTCTTTTTCTGAAAATACGAAATTCATTACGCTATTGCGCTGGACATAAATTTTTTTAGGTTGAATATTCGGCCTAATGGGCTCCTCTGGTTCTAAGCCCGCAATGAGAGGAATGAAAAAGACTCAATTTTTTCTTTTAGTATATAAAGCGAGGAAAATTGCTTTACAGTACATCCACTAGGTTTTTATTGAAGATAATTTAAAATTTATATAAGTTAAAATATTTTAATAAAATTTATTATAGTTTATTAGAAATTTTTATAATATCTATAATATCCTTTTTAAATGTAATAGTTAAAATATTAGATTTTTATTAATATTAATTAAACAAATTATCATAAAATTAACCGATAACAATTATAACTCTCTTTTTTCTATCATATTAAATAAAAAAACTTAAAATTAAAAACTAAAATCATACTAAAAAAAACATTTATTCTATCACATATACCAATGATAAAACAAAAAAAGG